CCGAGCTAGTAAGTCGGGTTCCAGCTTACCTACATTCAATTCAGTCTGTCTTGGGCTTGTCCCAGGTCAGATTGATTCCCCATACCTTATTATAATGTCATGAATAACAATACCCAGGGATGAATATTATACAGTTCACATCTCTCAGTCTTTTAAACCGGCGTCTCGCCAGTTTGATTCAGTAATATGGTACTCATTATCAAGCATCTCATCGTTATCACAATTAATCACTATCAGGGATGGGAGAGTTTACTAGAAACGAGTTACGGTAAGAGGATGGGGACCAAACAGAGCTGTTGAAATACGAGTTTGACAGTAACTGGATTTGGAGAAATGTGCTTCTAAAGTTACAGACCAGTTAATTTGCCTTTTTGTCATACAGAAGAACAAATATATTTCATTACGTTTTATCACGGCAGTTTGCTTTTCGTTTCTTCTTAAGCTAAGATGGCCAAAAAACAAGAGTATCTACGATTAGGCTGGTCTGTTTTAACTGTAAATTTCTCACTTCCGATTCATTTTTAAAAAGTTAATTCAGATGTTAAAATTTTCCCTTTCAATAATTTTTAACAAACCCTCCGCTGATTTTTCTTCATTTGAAAGAAAAGCCATCCTAATATTTCACTGTACATGTTAAAGGATAAAGTCTTGGCGAGATTTTCAAGAAGAATTCTAAAATATTCTCAAGAGCAAGTGTGATTGTCCGTAGAACCGTAAGATTATCGAAGTAGGAAATGTGTGACGTTTGCGCCTTTTAGACTAAGAGAAGTGTCTGTAATAATAGAGTGGTGGCCTTATTGAGTTTGTCGAGCGTTTTTAACATGAGCCTCTGGCTCGGAAGACTGTGAAAACACTTCCCACGTCTTCGACATTAAATAAATAATAATAATAATAATAATAAATTGAAGACTGTGTTCGCAAGCGGAGAGGTTTGACTGTCACACTATATTTACATTTACGTCTACTTTTTATTCAAAATCAAATATATTCTTTTACTTCTGCACCACAATGACATTTTCTGCAATACACTTCATAAGAAGCACTATCAAATAATACACTTGAAAAAGAATTAAAACTACATCCACACGCACCCAAATGATACACCCTTGCACACACAAAACGCAACTAGCTACAGTTGATTAATTTAGACCACTTCCCTGATGTGTACATATTTTTTTCTACTTCTATCTTCTCCTTTAAAAGAGTCAGAAAATCTGAAAACCGTGGATTTTAACACCATGCAATGCCTTAGAGTACAGAAGGTTTTTGCCGATGAGAATTAAATATTTGAGCAAGAAGACCAGGTTTTCAATACACCATTCATAATTTGATTTTTGCAAAAAGTTGGAGATTAGCCTGGGACCACGCTCCGCAGTGGGTGAAAAAAGCCAAAAAGGGGGTCAAATAGGAAAAATATCGGCGAGCGAAGCGAGCCCAGCGTTGGACTGGGGACCGCAGGGGGAAAGGGCGGCCGCCACCCTTTCCCCTCCCCAGACTACCCCTTGGCTCGCTTCGCTCGTTTTTTTTTTTTTTTTTTGCTCACGCCTTTTTTTTTTCCCTTTTTCCCCCAATGCGGAGCCTGGTCCCAGGCTATAAAACACAAATAAAAGAGAGATCACAAATTTTATGAAGCTAAATTTCTTCACTTCTTCTTTAATCCATTTTGTTGGCAACGATACCCAAAGTGTACATAGTATTTTCCTGAAATTTTATCTCAAATAATTTTACTGTTTTCTCGAAGATCTGTAGATTAGTTGTGAACGTAAGTATTATATTTAAAATCTTGGACGACCTTCTTATTTCTTCAGAGTAGCTCCAGTTAGTTTAGTCATTGCATAGAAAGACACTACAGGAGTGTTACAAATAAAAGGCCGTTCGCCTTTTTCCTACACAACCTACAGGAGTATCAAAACTAAAAATAAAAGTATAAAAAGACATGAGAAGAATTTTTAGGTTAAGGGCATATATTATTTTAACAGCTTTTTAAAGGACAGGGATGTAACTGAGTTTACATAGGATAAAAAACTCTTATTTCTGCTGTTTTTAGTCATGCGGTGGAGGTAAAGGTAAACATGAGCAACCCGACAGCACTTCCCGCGTAAAGGATTGCTTGTGCAGTAATCACCTTGGAATGAAAGCTTTAAAACGCGGTGATTATGAAACAGCCCGATATTACTTCGAGTTGGCATTAAAGGAAGCCAGAGAGATCAGAAATAAAGATTGTGAAGAAACTGCATGTAACAACCTTGGCGGTGTCTATCACGATCTCGGTGATTTGCAGAAAGCAATCGAGTTTTTTCAGCTGAGTCTAGGTATCGCAGAAAAGACTGGAAACAAAGATTCTGAAGGAAATGCATATAACAACCTTGGCCGTGCCTATCGCAATGTTGGTAATTTGCAGAAAGCAATCGAGTTTTTTCAGCTGAGTTTAAGTATTGCAGAAAAGACTGGAAACAAAGATTTTGAAGGAGCTGCATATAACAACCTTGGCGGTGTCTATCACGATCTCGGTGATTTGCAGAAAGCACTCGAGTTTTATCAGCTGAGTCTAAGTATCGCAGAAAAGACTGGAAAAAAAGATTTTGAAAGAACTGCATATAACAACCTTGGCCGTGCCTATCGCGATGTCGGTGATTTGCAGAAAGCAATCGAGTTTTATCAGCTGAGTCTAAGTATCGCAGAAAAGACTGGAAACAAAGATTGTGAAGGAAAAGCATATAACAACCTTGGCGCTGCCTATCGCGATGTCGGTAATTTGCAGAAGGCAATCGAGTTTTTTCAGCTGAGTCTAAGTATCGCAAAAAAGACTGGAAACAAAGATTCTAAAGGAAAAGCATATAACAACCTTGGCGGTGTCTATTACCATCTCGGTGATTTTCAGAAAGCAATCGAGTTTTATCACCTGAGTCTAAGTATCGCAGAAAAGACTGGAAACAAAGATTGTGAAGGAACTGCATATAACAACCTTGGCCGTGCCTATCGCAATGTCGGTGATTTGCAGAAAGCAATCGAGTTTTCTCAGCTGAGTCTAAGTATCGCAAAAAAGACTGGAAACAAAGATTCTGAAGGAGCTGCATATAACAACCTCTGCCTTGCCTATCGCGATGTCGGTGATTTGCAGAAAGAAATCGAGTTTTCTCAGCTGAGTCTAAGTATCGCAAAAAAGAGTGGAAACAAAGATTCTGAAGGATCTGCATATAACATCCTTGGCCTTGTCTATCACGATCTCGGTGATTTGCAGAAAGCAATCAAGTTTTTTCAGCTGAGTCTAGACAGTCTAAGTATCGCAAAAAAGACTGGAAACAAAGATTTTGAAGGAACTGTATATATCAACCTTGGCGCTGCCTATCGCGATCTCGGCGATTTTCAGAAAGCAACCGAGTTTACTCGGCTGAGTCTAAGTATCGCAAAAAAGAGTGGAAACAAACCTGCTGAAGGAACTGCATATAACATCCTTGCTGTTGTCCAGCGAGATCTCGGTGATTTGCAGAAAGCAGTCGAGTTTTTACGGCTGAGTTTAAGTATCGCAAGAAAGACTGGAGACAAAATTTCTGAAGGAACTGCATGTAACAACCTTGGCCTTGTATATCACGATCTCTGTGATTTGGAGAAAGCAATCGAGCTCTATCAGCTGAGTCTAAGTATCGCAAGAAAGACTGGAAAGTCTGAAGGAACTGCATATAACAACCTTGCTTGTAGTTTTTTCAATCTTGGCGGCGTTATTAAAGCCGAGGAGTGTGCTAAATCCTCTATAAAACTGGTCGAGGAAATGAGGGATCTCCTGCCCGGGAAAGACGAGTGGAAAATCAATCTTCGGAATGAACATGATACGAGTTATACTCTTTTAAGGACAATTCAATCACAACAAGGTAGAACCCTTGAGGCACTTTCCACAGCTGAGGCGGGACGAGCACAAGCTCTCATGGATCTCATGGAATCACGATATTGCGTCAGGGAATCAATTCGACCGTCATCAGAACAGCAGATGGAACTAATAATGACAATTTCAGGACTTGTTTCTTCACCTACGATTTTTGTAGCAGAAGATAAAAAACTAGTGAGTTTGTGGTTACTGCTTAAAGAACAGGGGTGTCTTTTTATCCAAAAGGGGATCAGTGTTGACTTATCATCACTAATTCAGGAAACGTACAAAAAGATTGTTGTCAAATTCGATGTGAGTGGCAAGGATCGCTCCCGGGATGAGCCAGAAGATGAAGAGAGTGTTGCTCTTAAAACATTGTATGACGTGTTTATCGCTCCATTTTCACACTTGATAAAAGGTGACGAACTCATCATTGTCCCTGACCGCTCATCATTTTTGATTCCTTATGTTGCCCTTGTGGACCAGAATTCCAGGTATTTGTCTGAAACGATGAGAATTCGGTTGGCTCCATCACTAAGAAGCTTGAGGCTGCTGGCAGAGTATCCGGAGGACCGCCATAGTACATCTGGTGCACTGCTTGTTGGTAATCCGTGGGTGGAAACCGTACGCATCGAAGGGGACAAATTCAAACCGCTTCCGGGTGCTGAGAAAGAAGTACAAATGATCGGACAGATTCTTAATATTCAACCTCTCACTGGTAGGAACGCTACAAAAGATCAAGTTTTGAGAAGGCTCAAATCAGTTTCTTTAGTACACATTGCAGCTCATGGTTGTCCAGAAAACGGAGAAATTATTTTGTCTCCTAATCTTGCTGATGCTAAAAGGCCGAAAGAGGAGGACTTTCGTTTGACAATGAGAGATGTTTTGGATGCACAATTGCGCGCCAAGCTTGTTGTCTTAAGCTGCTGTTTCAGTGCACGAGGGGAGATCAAAGCCGAAGGCGTGGTTGGAATTGCTCGTGCCTTTTTAGGAGCCGGTGCACGTTCTGTTATCGCGTCACTGTGGGCGCTCGACGACGAAGAGACTTTGGAGTTTATGAGACATTTTTACCAACATTTGGTAGCGGGGCAAAGTGCAAGTAAGTCCCTTCATCATGCCATGGAACGTATACGGGAGACCCAAGAATTCAAAGCCGTGAAGTATTGGGCGCCATTCGTGCTGATTGGGGATGACGTGACAATGAAATTTGGCCAATGAAAGGTGAGTTGCTCAGTTTAAAAAAAAAAAAATGAAAAATAGATTTTTTTTCATCAGCATTAAATTCAGCACGTGAGAAGTTCGAGTTTTGAAACGGAATTTAAATTTTTACAACGACAGAAAAAGAGTAAATTAAAGCACGGACGACGGATTGAAAAACATGTTGTGCAGAGTAAAAAGAAACCAACACAGGATAAAAGGATCATGTTCAATCAATCAATCAATAGATCGATCAATCCGTAGTTTCAAAAGTTCTGATGCCACGAGTCTATGGTTAACACAACACAGCAAAGACCGACAATTTATCATTGTTATTTTTTTTTGTATTTCCTTCTATAACAATTAGCATCTTTTACGTCTGCGCGATGAAAGCGTACTATTCGGGTGTCCGGCCGGCATACTTCCTGAGACAGTTAGCTATTGTAACCCTATTTCAGACCCGAAACTCTGTTTTCAAGCAGGAGGCGTAACTGCCTGTATGCCAGTGTGCACATGTATTATTCAGCCTGTAATGCTTGTATAAGAGTACCCCTCCCCCCTGAGACAGTTACCTGGTGTTACCTTATTTGAGACCTGAAAATCTTTTTCTATACCGGAGGCGTAGCTACCTTTTCGCCAGTGTGCACCGGCCCGTAAAGCTTGTATAGGAGTAGCCCTCCCCCTCCCACTCCTCCCTACGCAGAAAAATTCCCCACCTGGTCATAGCTGGTCTTCTCGCTTATTAGCAAGAGAGGATAAAGGGGACAGAGAAGGCGTCCCCCATACACACCCTATTCCATAGGGAATTCGTCTCGAGTTATTTTTAGAATCGGGATAAAGCTACCTCGCGCGCTGCGTGGATGTTTCGTGGAGGTTTCGCATGACTAAACGCCGTGCAAAACATGTCGGGCGAAAGGCAATGAAAGCGTAAAGAGATCGAAAGCATTTCTGAATATTGAAGCGAAATGAGTAGGCGCTAACCTGGGAAAAGGGAATCGCTGGACTCTTTGACAACCCGTGAAATCAGTTTAACTCGAAGTTGTCGTAACCTCAGTGCTTTAATAAAATGAGAAATTTCGCCGGTGTTTTGAAACCGGTCGTTTGTACAATAAAGCAAGTAGGACGCCAAGTGTAATAAAAGACTAATAAAAGACTAATAAAAGAATAAATATCAAACCAGAAATTGCTCTCTTCAAACTGTAATTTATAAATGATCCTGAGAGAATATTCAGTGTGTTAAGGATTTCCCTGCTGTACTGTTAGCTCTATACAAGAGAGGAAGGCCGATTCTTTTTTAATTTCCATTTCGCTGACACAGCTTTAGCAGAAATCTTTCTGTAGTCGTTTTCGTCGACAAAGCGAATAGCAATATCGCTCTCCGCGTCTTCCGCCATTTTGTTCTGCGTCAATTCGTGAAGGACGCGTGGCTCTGAGCGTGGGTCATCCACGCGGAACACATTCGCGCTATGTGATTGGCTGTTGTCTTATGCCCCTTGGGATCTGTGGTCTTAAAAATAACTCGAGACTAACTACCTATGGAATAGGGTGTGTATGGGGGATGCCTTCTCTGTCCCCTTTATCCTCTCTTGTTATTAGTTAACTTGATAAAAATTACAGAAATTAGCTTGTCTGTTGCTTTCTTTCACTGCAGAGCCAACAAAAGATATAGGAGGACTTCTGACATCTGGGAAAGCTGTATGATCCTGCATCTCCATTAAGTCGCTCTGGCTCTACTTACCAGCGGAAATTGATTACGGATTTATTTACAGCGAAGAGAGGTAGACCATGAGTACAGTGCCTTATTTTCCCGAGGGATAGTAGAGCAAACAAAATAATTAAGCGGGCGTTTATGAAAAACACAGCCCTCGAGTAAGGCGACCTTTCCCCACTTGCCGCGCGCCTTCCTCGTGGGTGGCAATTTTCACTGCCACTCGGGTACTAACTCCCTCTACTTCCCCAAGGCAAATAAGGGACCACTCATTGTCTAGAAGAACACTTCAAAAATCAATCATCAAAAGACGGGAAAACACGAAACGACAACGAGCACTGCATAAAACAAAAATGTTTTGGTCCAATTAGACGACGGAACCACCTAGATACTGGTGGAAAACTTCAACATATGCTCGCTCAAAACCCGCTGTGCAAGGGTTTCTGGGAACAGGTTTCAGTCATTCCGTGGACGAACCTTTTATAGACTTCAAGGAAAAAGTTGCTTTATTTGCGTGAACTTGCATTTGGCCGGATATACCATATACACTGTAAATAGAAATTATATACCGTAACATCCCGTTTCTACGTGTTCAGAGAAATTGGTTACTGATTTAAACTTTTACAACAAAAACGAAAACAACATTAGCTTTATTTGCATGCCTATAAGTTCTAATAGTGCAGTTGCAAATTAAAGTTTTAAAAGATAAAACAAGAAGAAATAATAAAGCAGCAAATAGATAACAATTAAGTTACATCAGACTCGCTTGGTAATAAATCAGTACAAAAATATAATCGTGATAATGCAAACTTCGTCCATTGATTTTTATTAAAACCGCAAAGAGGACAAAATAATCTTGTGATTTGGTAGATTCTGCAACTTTCGATCATCCTTTTCTTTCCTTTCAGTTACCTTGCTTTTATCTTTTAAGTAAGGGAAAAAATCGTTCTTAAAATTGTTAAAAAATTCTAGCAGGTTTCTTTGAGTGTTGAAATATGTATTTGTTTGACAATGCAACGCTTGAACCTACGCGGTCCGAGCTGTAATAGTTTTCTTTGTTAATAGTATCAATAATACGAGGAAGATTCATTTCAGCTCTACAAGTAATATTTGATCAAGTTTTGCTTGTTTCGAGACATCGAAAAATCAACTCAGTACACGACATAATAGATTCAAAAAGGTTAGAATCCAAGCCCAATAAATGTCTTTAAATCCTGTGTAGGCTGTAAATTACAACAGGCCCCATACGGGCTAAGATGTCAGTGCTCAGCGCTTGAGATACTTCTCTTTTCAGTGAATTCTCCCACCGATTTGTTACCAAAGCTACAGAACAGTTTACCCCCCTCCTCCACCCCCCCCCCACATCCGTCTTGAGAGCGATGTAAATAGATTTCTTTAATTGACATAACCTTTAGATGTACAGATAAAAGATGTAAGACCATGTAAATATCAGAAATTTTCTTTATTCACGTTCGTACTGGTGGAGGCAATGTGTCAAAATAAATGATTGATTTAATTTGAAGGCGACAAATGTAAATAAATTACTTTAATTAACATAACCTTTAGATGTATAGATAAAAGATGTAAATATCAGAAATTTTCTTTATTCACGCCGTTCGTATTGGACGCAATGTGTAAAAATAAATGATTGCTTTAATTTGAAGGCGACACAAAATGGTGCCTGTTTATTTAATAACCACCCGGTGCTTCCCTTCTGTGTCTGTGTTTAAAGTGTTTCTTTAGCCTTCGTAACAGGCGCACGTGAAATGTAGAGGCAAATATCAACGGCAGCGCTATCCTCGTGCGAGGAGAAAGAACGCTACCTTTCTCTTCGCGTTCTCATCTCCCCCGCGCATCACTTGACGCGCACCCATATTTCGCGCGAGCCTACCCCGCAGAAAAAGAGCAAACATTGGGGGTGGTCACAGGAACGTTGCTAGGCAAAGTACGTCACTTATGTCCAAGAATGTACGCGGGTATAGTCTCAATAAGCACTTCATATATGGCTGGGCTGTTGTCATTTTGATCTTTGAGATCTTGCCTTTTTCATTTAGATATGACTTGCTGGAATTCTTAATTGCCAAAATTGATGAACTGGTATTCATAAGGACGCTATGTGACGGCTATTACAAAAATCTTGTATCTCTCAAGGATTCGATCCTGCATCAATTAAACAGTAAACATTTATAAGTGTAATTTACAAGTGTTCCTTTTATTTCCAGACTCTAAAGCAATAGCTACACTTGTAAATTAAACTTGTAGAAGTTTTATTAAATTTAACGCTGAATATGTGTCAGGGACGATTTTTGGCTAAACTTATCTAAAGAAAACCTCAGTGCTCCTCTTTAAAATTCTACGAATGAATAGTTTAGAAAAATTTTCATTTTGAACTTTTGACTTTTAAAAATGGTTTGAGCAAAAAGCTCAGTGGAAAAAACAGAGAAACTTCAACCTTGATCCATGTCTTTCACATCCTCCCCGGACTTGAACTGATTGTTGCCGAGTCGACTATCGTTTCTTTCCTGTCAAGTGATTACGTCAAGATGAAACCATCACGTGATCTTAATAAAACACAAGCCTTTCTTTGCAATCTTCACGGCTTTCTTTAATTCTGCTTTATTTGACTTCCGATCCTTCTGAAGTCTAAAAAAAGAGATACCAACATTAAAGATTTATACGATGATAACAGTGTTTCGTCCGCAACGTGAATGTTTTGAGGCTTTCGCGACACGTTCCTCTCTCGAGATAGCTGCGTGGAAGTATATGCGAGATAGAATTCGTTGCGCTTATTATATTACTTCCAAGCGCATGTCGCGCACGCAGGTTAGATGAACCCCAAGAGAGGATTAAGGGGACAGAGAAGGCATCCCCCATACACACCCTATTCCATAGGTAATTCGTCTCAAGTTATTTTTAAGACCACAGATCCCGTGGGGAATTAGACAACAGCCAATCACATAGCGCGAATGTGTTCCGCGTGGATGACCCACGCTCAGAGCCACGCGTCCTTCACGAATATGGTCGGCCATTTGTTTCAAAATTATGACACGATATACGTGCGGTTTTTCCCACGTATACTTGCAATCATTCCTGCTACACGATATACGTACGTTTTTTTGTCACGTATACTTGCGTTTTATTCCCAAGTATATGACCATTTTCTTACAAACGCGCATATATATGCGCACAAAATATCCCATATATATGCGTTACAAACAAGCACGTGGTATATGGGGTCACAGAAAGTCGTCGTACAAGAGGCACCGAATTATACCGTCACCAAAAAACCCCCTTCATGTACGATGGAGCTGAAAACTAACTTCAGTCTGAATCAAGCATGGCCACAATGGCCGCGTTAATTTCGAGCAAGGTTTGGTTCTTATTCACTGCCCTCACCGCCAGTAGTGGTGGTTGTTGGCTCCCCGACAACCGATTTGTTGGAATCCGTGGATTGTCTCTTGAGAGACTGTGTACGCTATTTCACAAATGCTGACCGAAACAACGATCGATTCAGTTAGAAATTAGCGTCCGACAGGCAAAACACGACTCATAAGCTCTTGATAATGTGAAACATGACCTTGAGAGTCTGCTTGAACAGATTGGTTTTTCTTCTTTTCTCTCTCGCGCGCGAATTACCACCTTTTCGCCTCCACGAACACGTTCTAAGCCTCCTAGTCTCGAAGCTTTTTATTATTTCCCTGGTATTCTCACTGACTTTAATAGCCTTCCACCTGCCTCTCTTTCCTTAGTGCTCCTCCACTTTAATTGTGATTTTCATGGTTATCTAACTCGTTCTCGTTCAACTTGCATAAAATGTCCCTCAGGTATCAATTTGCTATTAGTTCTCACGCCCCGATTATTTGGCCAAGGATATCCCACTGATATACCCTTCACTCTCTGTAACAGCCTTACCACCACTGACTTTAAATAGAAACTAAAACTTTACTTTTTAAGCCTGGATTGAATTAGCGCAGGATTATCATAGTTTATTGTTAGTTTATTTGTCACTAGTACTTCTAGTTTTACCTCTGCTATAGGACTGCTTGCATTACTTAATTTAAGTTTTGTATCTTGTTTTAGTTTCGAAATTTAGCCTTCAATGACTTCATTTCTACATAAAATAATTTCTGTTATTTTGACCACAGGTCGTATAAGCCCCCGGCTTTGGCTTTACTGAGTTTTGTACTATATGAACGATGGAATAATTAAGTTAAACTTAAAGTTACTAGCACTACAGATAATTACCTGCATACTGAGTAATCATCTCCTGTGGTTTATGGTTCTTTAGGTCTTCCTGCTAGAAGTTGACCTCAGATGCAGTTGTAAAGTGTTTTAATTTTCTTTGACCTTTGTTTAAGCCTAAAGCTTTAATTTAGTATTACGGCTAAATAGAGATTGTAGTTTCTATGGTTTTCTCCGTAAATCATGGATCTGTGGAATAACTACATGCATGCATGTAAGTTTCTTTGTCCGGGGATGTGATTATTTCTTCCTATGCCAGGGGAGAGGGTACTCCCTATGATGGCCTATACGGGGAGGCTCCACCCGAAATCCCGGAGAGGTACTTAACAAATATTTGTACGGGGAGGCTCCACCCCGAGGTCCAACCCCTTACCCGTCGAGAAAGCGTTCTACATTTGTGACTGATTCCTATTTTATGACAGTGCGGGTTTCCAGCAGTTAAAGGGGATACAAAGTTCTAAGCAAGATATGTGAAAGGAGAACCATTTGTCAATAGAAGAAAATGGTCATATACTTAGGAATAAAACGCAAGTATACGTGACAAAAAAACGAACGTATATCGTGTAGCAGGAATGATTGCAAGTATACGTGGGAAAAAACCGCACGTATATCGGGTCATAATTTTGAAACAAATGGCCGACCATACACGAATTGACGCTAAAAAAATGGCGGAAGACGCGGAGAGCGATATTGCTATTCGTTTTGTCGACGAAAACGACTAAAGAGAGATTTCTGCTAAAGCTGTGTCATCGAAACGGAAATTAAAAAAGAATCGCCATTCCTCTCTTGTATAGAGCTAACAGTACAGCAGGAAAATCCTTAACACACTGAATATTCTCTCAGGATCGTTTATAATTTACAGTTTGAAGAGATATGATATTTATTCTTTTATTATTCAACAAAATAACACTTGGCGTCCTACTTGCTTTATTGTACAAACGACCGGTTTCAATAGACCGGTTACGACAACTGCGAGTTAAACTGATTTCAAGAGTTGTCAAAGAGTCCAGCGATTTCCTTTTCCCAGGTGAGCGACTACTCATTTGGCATCAATATTCAGAAATGCTGTCGGTCTCTTTACGCTTTCATTGCCTTTCGCCCGACATGTTTTGCACGGCGTTTAGTCATGCGAAACCTCCACGAAACATCCACGCTGCGCGCGAGGTAGCTTTTTGATCCCGATTCTAAAAATAACTCGAGACGAATTACCTATGGAATAGGGTGTGTATGGGGGATGCCTTCTCTGTCCCCTTTATCCTCTCTTGATGAAGCCCTATAAGCCTTGGGTAGGTTGTTTCTTGATAAGCTAACGTGCGCGGCCTTCTGTGCGGAAGATTTCGAGTTCGATTTCCAGGTGGGACCTCAATCCTTGTTTCGTCTTTTACTCTTTTCCTTGTAGCTTTTTAAAAGTAGCTTTTAACACCAGTAAAAAGGAGAACTGATGGAGAGAAGGAGGTAAAACGAATGCACCGTCGGCCTCATCTTTGTCTGTCAAATGTGCACTATTACCGGTTCATTTCCCACGTAAAATAAGGATCTTTATCGTTACTTTGCTGCTATCCAGTAACCTTCAGGGTTTGAGAAAGGTGATTTTTGTGGAAACTTAGTGAAACACTCCTGGACTTAGTAACTGACCAATGCCTATCAAACAATTAAACTTGTAGCAGGATTATCGCGCAACCAAACAACTTAAACGGCGTCTAAACATTGTAATAACTAACTGGCTCAAGATTCCATTTTAAAGTAGCTAGGTAGGATTTACGATATCTAAAATTGCGTAAAATAACAACTTGCCTTGTGACGAGAGATAAATCCCCGCAACCAAACATCACAAAAAACAAAGTGTCTTTCGGTAGGGCCTGGTGAATTTGTAGGATTTTAGAGTCTACCGACTTTAGCACTTCCTGTTGACAAAAAGAAAACAACTTCACAAATGTGACGCCCAAGGTGCTTTGTTTAAGTCAGGAACCTCAGAACACTCGGGACCAAATTTGTAACAACTGTTTGAAGTAAATGTTTCCAGACTGCATATCCTATATTAGCCTGCCAATACAGCTCTACAAGGAGACACAAAATTGTTAAAGACACTGCCGTCACTTTGAGCCGATACTTCAAAAACATAAAATAACCTGGAAACTATCTCCCACCCCCTTCCGCCACCAAAAAATCTTTTAACACTTTTTGACAAGCAGTCCAGTCATTTTTACAAAAACATTTCTTTTCCCCTAGCCTATAAAACTAAACAAGGACTTATTTCAATAAGTTACCTTCCATCTTTGATCTTCTTTTCCCTCATCGTTACACGTTTCCCCTGCGAAGATATGAGACAAAAGTTGGTTCAAAATAGTTTCTTGTCTCAATGAAATGTATGCATCAGTTTGAGACGTTTAAAAGAACGTAATAAAGGTTCCGTCTGCAATTATAATGCCGCTGACCTTTGAGAAACATTTCAGGTTGATGTAAATGAGCCCACAACAGATCTGCGGTTTTGACTAGCTCCACCGCCTGGGACACCACCTAGAAATAAGGACAATGGTCATTGGTGGCCTAATAAGCGCCTACAGGTGCTAACACATGGGGGCTTTCACATTCGATCGGGTTAAAACATTTAGATAAAGATTTAACTTACTTCATCGATGAGTGGATTTTGTTTTCTTTGGCGGCCGTTTCGAATTTTTCGGTCAGATGGTGCGAGATCTGGAGCCAAGAAATATCGGGGGTCTGGGACAGTCGAAAAACTCTCGGAAGATCCAATCGCTTGCCGAGTGTGAAGCGACATATTATCAGAGATACGAGCGGCTCCGAAGATTTCTTGGTTGCAGATGTCGTACCAGCAGACCGCAAAGTTCAAAATGGCCGCAAAAGAAAGCAAATTTCTCCTATCGATATTAAAGTAAATGATCATTATTCTAAGAACGTTTTTCTTCGAATAAGAGTTCGGGCGCTTATTGAAAATTTCGGTTCAAAGAAGGGGCGTTTTTAAAAAAGAGTGCGCTTAATCGAGGAGGGCATTGGTTATCAAGCGTACTGAAGTCCCATTACACAAAGGGAAAGGGGGAGCTTATTCGAGGGGGCGCTTATTTGATATTTTGGCCTAGGGGGTGAGCGCTTACTCGGGGGAGGACGCTTATTCGAGGAAATACGGTATTGTAACCTGATCGAATGTGAGAGCCCCCCGTGGGTAAAGCTCAGAGCCACTTTTAATTATCACCAAACGAGAAAGTTTCAAAAACTCCCCAGGTACGGTGATGATTAACCCAAAGGAGTTTAGTTTTTAAGAAGCGACATTACCTCGTCATCTGAAGTACATGAAACGGCGTGTCTTGCACCACTACAAAATTTTCTTAACACTCCTGGGGAGTCAAGCATGGCTCCTACGAATAGTACAAGATCATAATAATAGGATTAGTCTCCAATCATCTTGAATCATCGTGGGTCACGACGACTCACGACGACAGTCTCCGGTCGGTATGAGACGTCGGTTAGTTGGTTAGCCTCAAATCACTGGGCTATTCACACAAAAATAGATTTAAAAATTTATTCTCGGGATCTTCTCTTGGGAGAGTAATCAGTCTTAATTCTTCTACCACGTAAACGCTTTGTTTGATGCAACAAGCTTATATATCCAAAAACAATTAAACACTTGCTAAAAACAACTAAATAAGCTCCATGGGTGAGAGATTCCTACCAACGAGTTTCTGCTTGTATAGTTTTTTCATTACAAGCCAAACAACAAAGAAACAACCAACCAAAAAGCAATAAATAAAGAGTGCGGCCTTCGGTGAAGAAGTAATTTGCTGTCTACCAACTGAGTTACAGTCAAACCAAGAAAACTGTGAGGGCCGAGAGCAAAAAAGGTGGATTCTATTTAGCTCCCTTTCCAACTCGACGAACTCCTGCGGAAACGGCTGCCACGAAGGTCAACTGTAAGGTGAACGGATCACCGTCAGAGTGATTTTAAACGTGAAGTATCCAGCGCTACTCCTTCGCCAGAGCGAATCCAGGGATAATCATTATTGGATGCGTTTTTTTTTTCAGAATAATCAAGATCGAGGTAAGTTTTGTCAACCGAGGCCAAAGGCTTATAACACTTACCGAGTCCTTGATTATACCGGATTTCACAAAAGCCGAATCTAGTCAGAATTGTACTGAAGAAAATAACGACAAACACACCGCACCAAGGAACATAGTTTCAAATTGCACGTGGAAATTGTGCATTGCGCGCACACGAAACTAATCTGTACTTTGTGCTTATTACCAAAATTAACTGTAGGATCTTAGCCAATAAGGCAGTTTAGAGAGTACCATGTATAATAACAATAATAATAATAATAATAATAATAATAATAATAATAATAATAATAATAATAATAATATAAACTATAGGAAAAGTGTCTAATATACCTATCCTTCCTTTGCGAGCGATCCTCTCAAATAACCTGTTGATAAATATCACGTAAAAAGAGAAACGATGACTTAAGTTATGTATTCATCATTTCCTATATTAACTCTCACCATCTGTCTAAAGAAAACGAAAGAAATGCCAGTGCACCAATTACTAGTCCCTTGAAGCAACCTTTATACATGCGATTTTTTTCTGCGCTGTAGCGGCGCCTGAGGCGAGAGAGACAGTATTCTTCATCCCCTGCTGTGACTGGCAACAAATCCTTCTTCATACATTTATTATTTGTAAAAACTCCAAAATGGTTTTACTCCAAAGAAGGGCTTGGCAAGTAATAAAAATAAACGTAAAGGAATAAAAAAAGGGATCAAAAAAGCCCACTCTATGTCGATTACCATCAGCTTTGTTTCAAGCCTGTAGGGTACTAAACATGAACCACCCTTGACTGAGATATGATTTGCTTTCTTAAAAACAATTGCAAGAAAAAGCCTACACCAAAAATCCAAAATGTTAATGCGGAGAGTGATCGTCTTTTAAAAAACCTGTTATAAAAAGCAGAGAGAACTTTGTCTCATGATAAGCAAGTGTTTACGGGCCGGGCCTCCTTTTTCTAACAAATAACTGATGGAATTATCTGTAAGTGAATATTTTGAACTAAGTTGCATACCCTTCTTTATTCATTGACGGTTTTCCAAAGTTTGGACCTAAAAAACAAACAAACAAGGAATAACGTTAACAAGGCAAGGAAAAAATAGAATTAAGAAANAATAATAATAATAATAATAATAATAATAATAATAATAATAATAATAATAATAATAATATAAACTATAGGAAAAGTGTCTAATATACCTATCCTTCCTTTGCGAGCGATCCTCTCAAATAACCTGTTGATAAATATCACGTAAAAAGAGAAACGATGACTTAAGTTATGTATTCATCATTTCCTATATTAACTCTCACCATCTGTCTAAAGAAAACGAAAGAAATGCCAGTGCACCAATTACTAGTCCCTTGAAGCAACCTTTATACATGCGATTTTTTTCTGCGCTGTAGCGGCGCCTGAGGCGAGAGAGACAGTATTCTTCATCCCCTGCTGTGACTGGCAACAAATCCTTCTTCATACATTTATTATTTGTAAAAACTCCAAAATGGTTTTACTCCAAAGAAGGGCTTGGCAAGTAATAAAAATAAACGTAAAGGAATAAAAAAAGGGATCAAAAAAGCCCACTCTATGTCGATTACCATCAGCTTTGTTTCAAGCCTGTAGGGTACTAAACATGAACCACCCTTGACTGAGATATGATTTGCTTTCTTAAAAACAATTGCAAGAAAAAGCCTACACCAAAAATCCAAAATGTTAATGCGGAGAGTGATCGTCTTTTAAAAAACCTGTTATAAAAAGCAGAGAGAACTTTGTCTCATGATAAGCAAGTGTTTACGGGCCGGGCCTCCTTTTTCTAACAAATAACTGATGGAATTATCTGTAAGTGAATATTTTGAACTAAGTTTGCATACCCTTCTTTATTCATTGACAGTTTTCCAAAGTTTGGACCTAAAAAACAAACAAACAAGGAATAACGTTAACAAGGCAAGGAAAAAATAGAATTAAGAAAACATGAAACGCTTTGCCAGGTGTAACTTCCCTCGGGGCCTCTCAAGCAAACTTGGTATGTCCACTCGACAACTGATGAAAAAACTAAACTTGGAGAAATGCAGAGGTCTACAAATCAGGCGAGATGTAACCCAAGCATTAGTCTTCTACATTTCTACTACTCACATTCGAGCCACTATTCTCACTGCATAATTAATTAGCTCGTCACAAGAATTCTTTATAATCTTGCGCATTTCCTCGCGGGATCGCGCATGCTCGCAGCGGTTGTAATGCTTTGCGCCCCTCGACTATAAGATTCGCCACTCCGTCTGAAAAATGGTCATTTTTAATGATGGTGCTCCGGGACCACGGACAATTTTCGCGATCTAAACCCACCCCATTTCCTGGTGGCCGTTGAGAACTTCAACGTTTCTCCTCGTTGCATTCCTATTACTTAATATTATGCGGTGAGGTAATGAGTATGTATTGCTTTGAGGAAATGTTACGCGTTTTCTTGCTGATAGTTTTGGGAATTAGCGTAGTATAATACTACACCAGCTCTAAAAGATGGATTTTCGAGTCTTGTAACACACAGCACGGAGTCAGAAATCTGTTCTCTTGTGAAGATAAAGTAAACAAATTTACCATTTTTAATTTTCAGCTGAACCAACTCCATGCAGGCTTTAGCATCTTCGATTGAACAATGGCCATCTGATCCATTTTGAATCTTTTTACTGTACATAGAAAAAGTTTCAATTACATCGCAAGAAACACAGAAGTGCAGGCCAAAGATTACAAATGAATATTGCCACTAAACAAACTGGAAATTACTAAGATGCCCTTGGAAAAAGGTGGAAAGTACGCACGCGATTGAACACTTACTTCAAAAACTGTTTAGTGAGACATTTGAGTGAAGATTTAAATAAAGGACCACTACTACTGTCATATAAGACTGAAGTGTCAATCACACGTCTGTGATGCAGCTAGAAAGAAATAAATATAAGGTACACATTAGAGAAATACAATGATTTGTATACAATCAGAGAATATCTTGACAGATGAAATAAGAATACCTTAAAGATTGAAGGTTTCAAGGGTATTTTGTTACCAGGGAAATTAGACGCATCTTACATAAGTTGCGTTTTAGGAATCCAAAACGAATGGATAAAGAGAGAAACCTTTCTTGGTGGAATAATGGTCACGTTTTTTATTTTCTTTCAAAACACCGGACAACAGTTTACACTAAACTGTGAAATGAACTCACCTTCAAGGCTCGCAGATCATTTTCCAAGGAATGTCCGATCAGAATTGCATCATGCGGCAGAAGATCGATTAAACATTTTTGGACATCATCTAATGTTGTAGTAACATTTTCAAGTGTCTTCTTTGTAATGCCACTAAACCTTCACAAAAAAAGGGGGAGACGCAAGTAAGTATCTATACCCTTAACTTGAAGATCTTAGAGGATTTCCCGCAAGACTAATGGATTTTGTGCTGTTGCTATTTTTGCGTAATTTTCTATAAATAATAGGGAGATTTAGAGTCGCGTAACGTTTCTTTACTTCTACCAAAAAAATAAGTAGTTTCACGTTTTTTTCATCTATAAGAATTGTTTTTAACTGTTTTTATCTGCTCATGTTCTATCTTGAGAAATTTTCAACTTGAGTCTACCGTTGGCCGTTTGCCAAAATGTCACTCTAAATCTCTCTATTATCTATAGAAGATTTTTTCCAGCGCAGGACATTACGGAAATATTTCCATTTTACTTTACTGGCACTTTTACTGCAGATCACTTGTCACATGTTAGCAGGTAAAGCCATACCGGCAAGGTCACAAAAAACACTAGTACGATTAAGAAAAAAAAGAAACTGTCTTGCTTTGCGTTGCAGACGCTGCCTTATTTCCTCGGCAGCCGTTCTCTGCGGACACATAACTTAAAATCTGGTGAAAAGGAGCGGACCCATAACTTAAACTCTGCTGAAAAGGAGTGAAGTCTTTCTAAATAAATAAGTATTCGCAAGAGAGGATAAAACTATCCTCTCTTGGTATTCGACTAAACTACTGAATACAGCCCAACTTTGGAACAAACAACAAAACAGGTCCTGATTGGCAACCACTCCACAAGCCACTAAATATACAGAGAGATATGTTTTCATTGCTGAACCACAATATAGTTAAACTTAAGTCTTGGCTTGCATTGCTCTTCATATCCATTGCCGAGCCACTACGGCTTCAAAAGTTGCCCCTTTAATTTTCATCTACTGGTCAACTATAATTTGAGCGAGTTGGATTAATCGCGAGGAGCTTGAGATAACTTACTTAGTTTTGTAGTCTATTATTGGCCTGGTAGGTTTAACAAGTGTGTCGTAAATTACNATTACCAATTAAACACACCATTCGTTAATTTATGGAGCCTCAGTACCAGGCTGTTTGACAAAAAAAAAAAAAACAAAAAAAAAAGACCTTTGTAGGGGGGAAAGAGGAGGGGGGGTGGAAATAATGCATTTTTTTTTTTTCCCCTCCCCCCATTTTTCCCCCCCCCCCCCCCCCCGCTTTTTCTTCCTCCTTTAAGCGCCGCCACAGTGACGTAGGCTAGGTCTCTACGTATAAAGGTGGATTTCCACTGTCGCGTTATTTTTACGTGCGTAAATAGAACAGAATAATGTATGAAAGGTCGCGCGTAAACGTAAAGTTGAACCTCGCTCAACCTCTACGTTTGCACGCGGCACTTCATACATTAGAGAGATTTAGAGACGTCAGATGCAAGTTGAGAATTTCTTAAAATAAAATAAGTGCAGCTAAAACAGTCCAAAACAATTGTTATAGACCAAGCTAACCTGAAGCTACTAATTTGGGGGGAGAAGTAATGAACAGTAAAGCACAAGCTATGGGAACACTTGGTCACGTGGTACAAATTCACTGTTGCCGTTTGCCTTGAACGCGACTCTAAATCTCTCACTCTATTAGCTCTATTTTATTTACGCGGGTAAAATTTACGTGGCCACGCGCGTAAAAGTTACGGGAAAGTGCAAATCCAACTTAATTTAACTCTGCGGTTCGGGCCGCATGACTTCGGGTGAGATGACCTTCGAGTGACTTGACATGTTACCTTACAAAAATGGTAAATATTGCAGTGTTTTAGAAGCCTACCTACCATCTCACAGTCAACAGCATACATTGGCGACTCGTGTGAAGAGGACTCCTTTGAGGAGCTGGTAGATTTCTGGTACGCTTTGGTTGAAATGAAACCTAGAAACAAATAATTTTTAGTAACCGTTTGTTTGTTAGTTTTTGCGACGCGATGTTGTTCTTTCCTTTATAGAAGAGAGACTTTGCTTCTCTTCATCTGTGTAAAGAATGGGTAATACCGTCAAACATTGCGGGTAACCTTGCTTGGACTAATGTAGGGTGGAGCAGTAAAAGAGACCTTTCGATTCTAAAACGAGGAATACTACGACTACGAGATTTTCTTAATAGAGAAGAGAAGCCGTCACGTCACGTTGCCATGGTAGCAAAATTCTTGGTTCTCAACAAACCGTGGTCCTGCAAATGTGGCAGACAAAAACGAAAACATTGACATGTATGGCTTTCCTGTGCATGATTGCACCCAGGAACAAAATTGTAGCCCATGCTTTTCTTTTATTGTTTGACAACGCAAATGACCGTCTCTGTCAAGAAAAATTGTTGGGTAAAAGTGAACAAGAAGCTCCCCTAAAAGTCTGTCGGCCGACTGTTGGTTTTCTCACGGCCGACAGTTGGCCGACAGTATACCAACAGCTCACCGACAGTTGACCGACAGTAACCGACAGCTCACCGACAGTTGACCGACAGTAAACCGACACTGAAAAAAAATACCGTTGCCCTCTCAATTATCTCTGTCCGTTTGAATTGATCGCAGGTGCTGATCAATTAAGGATAATTATTTTCAGTTTGTTTATTTTTGATTACTTATTCACTTATCAGAGACAATAAAAGCTGCTTACAACTTAGTCATTGACTTTTCTTTTATTTGGTGGTTCCTAAAAGAACAGTTTTTTGGATAAAGCACTGCAATATGTTGTTGTGATTCGATGAGATAATTTTGAAGTGTTCCACCATTTTGTACTCACTCACCAAAACAACTCAAACTCGTCCACGGGTCTTCTCGGTTAATTGTTCAATAATATGGCAATTTTGTGTTTTTTTTTTTTTTTCACGTATAGCTATATTCTTCCAAATTTGGTCGACGGTAGCTGGTTATGATTAAATATGCATGAGATTTTAGCCAATCAGAAACGTACAAATATTTTGAACGAATAATAATGTTTATTACATACCATCATTATGTGTCGATTTATAATCAGCATGATTATCATCATCTTCAGGGAGAGGGTAATCATTCATCTGCATCTCCTCAGTTGTCAGAATATAATCCTCTCTTCCTTTTGGAGTATCAGCTGCGTTTAATAAAGATAGTAATTTAATGCAATGCCAGAAAAAAAAGCAATACTTTGTGAATACACGTCTACATTTTGGCCTCAAAATTTCCTAAATTCTAACCTAAATCAATACTTTCGTAAATATCTGGTAGTCATGGGATTCTAGATGTAAAGTTTTTCAAATTTGTGTTTCTCCTTGAGTTATATGTACTTTTTGACTGAGTGTCAGGGCTGGACGGGAAAATATTTGGCTCGAGGTCTGGACGTACGGACCTACTGTAGCGCAACGAGGCCCGTGCGTCCAGACTGACAACTAAATATCTTCACGTCCGACCCGACCTAACTAAGTCAATAAGAATTTTATCATATGACCGTTGTGTTTTTGAATTTTTCTGGCGGAGCGAAAACGCGTTCATGGCAGCATTTGCCTCGTTTCGTACGCCCTTTTCTAGCAGGGCCGCAAGCGTTTTTCTGCCTCTATCACTTGACGCGTAAGGGCCTCAAACGGGACTTTTTTTTTGTCATATGGTTTTCCAAGGAAATTGCGCGTGGGGCCGTATGGCTCATGTGATAATGCTGCAAATTTGACACCACCAAAAGTGAATAAGTTCTTGAAAAGCAAAATTTGCTTTCAGTATATTTGGAGTGTTTCTTAGTAGATTCATCACTTTGTAGAATTGATTTTTGTGACCTTAAGTCTTTTGTCTCTTAATCATAAACAACTGCTGTAAGAGTGAAATGTTACTAAATCAACCAATAAGAGCACTTGACCAGATTCTGGACAAATTTATGCTGTCAATACAGAATATTTTGGGCTGAAAGAGGCACTGTCCACAATTAATGTGTCGGCAGCAATATTTGCTCACACTGTATATGAATACTCTTACCATTCTGTTCAGCTTGTTTCCTCCTTTTTTTCTCTTGTTTTGAAATGTCTACGGATAATAAACTTTCTGGAGGTAGCCGTACGGAAATATCTGGACCTGAGGCGAAAGTTGCCACACACTGAAAAAAAAAAGAGCTTAAAGAATGAAAACGATATTTTAACAATGTAAATGCATTATCAAACTTTCCTTACAAGGAAGCCCCTTTAAAAAAGGAGTCCATTTAAGAGACACAAAATCCATACCCGGTATGGCTTCATTATCACAGTTTTATATAATAAATAAAAAATATATCACATCTTATTAATATTCATAAAGAAAAAAACAAAAAAACTTAATGTTTTAATAATGAGTGTCTTTATATCTGATAAAGCTTAACTTTACTCAATTTTTTAGACCAAAATAACCCCAAATCTAAATAATTATACAGTAATTGCAAGAATGAGTTGATCTATATCAGAGTTTTTGAAGCCGTTCAATATACTTGTAGTTGTATATTATCAGGTTGAACACTACAGGGGAAAACTGGAGTACCCAGAGGAAAATCTCTTCAAGTGTGGGCTAGACTAAACCAGCAGAAAACTCAGCCCACATAAAGTGTATGGTGTTGCTTCTGGGATTCTGACCAAGGTACATTGGTGGGAGTCAAGTCCTCTCACCATTATGCCACCCTTTGTCCCAAGAAGAAAGTTAGCTCTGTAAAACATTGTTGGAAGAAAGAACCAATTATAATGGAAGAATTATTAGCATATTTTTTTTGCTTAAATCTCCACTAAATTAAGTGAAACATATTTCTTTTTAGTCAGGTCTCTTAGTGCAAAATATAGGCCGGATCGTTACAGACGTGACAAAAGTGTCAAATTTGGCACAGAGCTTCCTTAGCACCTGCCGATTAATACTGGAGGGGGTGCCCGTTACAAATGGTCCTAATCACAGATAAAAAGGGGGGTTAACTTTCACCTATAATAGCAGATTGGGTGCCCTGTGGTGAGAACTTTTCTTGTTTGATTTGGCTAAAAAACATTAGCTTCAAATTTTTAAGTTTTTAATTTGGTAATGTTTAGTTGTTGTTACACTATTCAAAATAGTTTTACGTGTACATAATACTGACTAGTGCCCCGTCTCCACACGGTAAGTTTGGCTATGATCACTGTGTGGCTATCAGTGTCACTGCTAAGACTTGCCAGTGATAATATCATTACATATCAATTTAAACAGATCACGAAGCCAGCTTTCAAAGATGTCATACAATAACATAAAACCCAAATGTATCACATCCTAAACGATAGAATCGTTAAATTTTGACATGCCTCATAAACGACCTCATGAACCGTAACTGACAACTCGCCAACTTTGTAATTGTGCAGCTAAGATTAGATTATAATTTGCTTCGTTGGTAACCTTGTTCTTGAGATAATGATTAAAACATGTCAACGTCATCCTCAGGGGGAAAAGGAGGAGCAAGGGTGGCACAGTTGGTTAGTGCGCAGCCTTCGGTGCGTGAGGTCCCGAGTTCGATCCCTGGTGTCAACACATCCTTATTTCAACTTCTCTCCTTTCTGTGTAGCTTTGACTAGCTTTAAATACCCTTAAAACGGAGCATTAATGGAGAGAGGGGGTAAAAGGAGCGCAATCGTCGACCTCAAGTTTATCAGTTATTATTACTGTCACGAGTTATTGACATAAAATATGGTCGGTTTACCTTTTTCTACCTTTTTATTAAGCCCGGGGGACGAGGTTGTAAAACATATGCCTCTCCAGGAATTTTCAGCACTCTTAATTTTTTACACATTTGCATGCAAAAAGCAGTGTATGAGGTCCCTGCGTCCCTAGACACCTGTAAGGAGCTCATTCACTTCAGAGCCCTCGCACCAGAGTGTTAATGGTAGGTCTATACAATCTTTCAAAAAAAAGGAAGGTCGTCGCGTGCGTTACAATTTACAAACAAACTAACTTCAAAAGAGCTGGAAGTTACAGGAACAAGTCCTCTTTTAGCCAACCAATGATGCATCATTTATGAAAATGAATGTAAATTGTTTGATGCAATTAGGCGAATACCCCGTGGTTACGAATTCTTACGATCATGAATTCCTCAAGAGCAATTCAGTTACCAACTTTTCACAAAATAATGTTGTGGAAAATTACCGAAAATACCAAAAAAAGCAAGGGTCAATAATAATTATGGCCTGATCCCTTATAATAATGGAGTGGTCAAGATAAAGAAGCCATCAGCCCCAACTTTGACCACTCAAACAGATTTCTGACAGATTACGTACCGCAAAACTTTGCATTCACTTATGCCTATGTTGCCACACCAGGAGCCTAGAAATCGGCTCCTAGTCACACCTTGTTTTTATTGCTGAATATCATTCTAAGGAGCTTTACGAAATATTTTGTTAGTAGGGGTGTTTTGAACATGATTGAAATTTAGATGGTGACAAAAACGTACACAAAAAAGTCACAAAACGAGAAGCATGAAACAACCGCAATCTAATATTTGTGTTACACCGATATAATGGCTCCTTTGGCTGCTATGCTGACGTTTTTGAAGATGAAAGTAGTATGACAGCTAGTCCCGGGTTAGGTATACCGTTTATTACCAGTTTCACGGTTCCTGAGACTTAGGGCCCGTTAACATAAAGGTGGGGGACCCCAGGTAGGTGAGGTAACCTGCTTAACTGGGGTAAAAAAATAACCCTCCTTTACATGCAATCTTACAACCCCACCATCCTGGGGTGCAGTTTCTCAAGATTATTGAATGGTCGCTAAGTACGTAAAGAAGAAAAATGCTGGCAAACCACGTCTACGCTCACTTGCTGCTCTTGCTGCAGTCTTCAGTGTTGTGGCCGTCTATTGTTACCTTTAATAATTGTGTGAAGCAACCCGGCGCCAAAGTAAATTTTGCGCGAATTTGATGTATCCCGAATCCGACCCCGACTAGCCTGGGTTACCTCATCTTGAAACGTTGACATGGCAAAATTTGACCTCAGCTGAGAGGGTTACCCGGTGTGGCAGACCGGGCTACCCACCTTGAAGGGTCACCCCACCTATCATGTAAACGTGATCAAATTAAAATGAGAGATTATATGGACAGGCAGGTTCCCCACCTAAGTGGGTTACTATGCCTACTTGGGGTCCCCCTCCTACATGTAAACAGGCCCTAAAAGTTAGCCCGACCCCCTTTCTATGGTTTCAGCAGTTAAACCATTCACCATTTATCATTTGAGTCAATCTTGTACCACTTAATTGAGTCTCACTTTTACGACTTGATTTAAGCTGTTATTGTTTTTCGACGTGAGTGCTTCAGTGCCAAATGTAGAGGCTTCATGGTAAACTGTGCTGTTTTTTGAAGCTTGGGCTAACCTGTTCCTTTTTTTCGTTTATGAGACCAGATTCTTTTTTTTTTGATTTTGCTTTGTAAAGCTTAGACAAACTGCGGGAATTGTAAATGATATGACTTGTGCCACGATGCTTGCTTCTCTGTCAAAACATGCACGTGCGTCCAGCAGATAAAGAGAGACTGAAAGGTATCCAGGCCTATGTTAAACTGAAAAATTAATTACCTCCTTAGGAAAGAACTATTTTGGATTCTGTCATTTCGTTATTTGGTCTTTATGAACAGCTGTCATAAATCCCTGGTAATATTTGATGCAACAGACTCTTTGACAACTTCTTCTTTTCTGAAATTTTGTGCGTGAATCGCTATGCCATACGCTTTCTTTAGCCTAAAGTGACATGTAATGACAAGTAATACTTGATAAATAACGCTTAAGCCACACAATAAGGCCTCCTCTAATTGAAATACATTAGAAAAGGAGAAGAGAACCCAAGAAGCTGAGTACTTGCAAGTTATGAAGCAAAGACGAGGCCATCTTAGCAATGACTTATGAAAGTGTGGGAGGACTGTGGACTTGCTTTAAGGGCACAGTAATAATCAACTCAATTATACAATCAATAGGCTAATACTGGATGGGAATGCCAGATGTTCTAGTGAAATTGTTGTTTACAACATGAGAAGAGCATTCTGAATGATTTAGGGTATTAAATAACAATTTTCAATCAAAACACCACAAGGACCCCAGCAGGTGAAATTTACAATAATTAAATCCTGGTTAGCACGCCTCAGTGGCATATTTGCATTGGGCACCCCCTCCAATATTCATGGTACTGCAGTAAGCTATCGCTGTGCAAAGTTTGGTGCTTTTGTCAACTCTGTAACGATCCTGACCTTAAGAGACCTGACTATTTGCAGTCATTACTGATAAGAATTTATAGAACTAAACTTACATATGAAAAAATAATTGGAAATTACTTAAAGGGCAAAATCATCAATTGATTTTAAATAATACATCTTTTTCTCTACTGATCAGCCTATTATAAATTACTAGTATAGTAGTTATAACCATTAAGAAGGGTATATCTACTGTAAATGATGTAATAAACACCCGCTTGCAAAAAACGCCTCCTCCATGCACTGTTAAAAATGTATTACTAGACACCCCGTTTTAATAAACACCCATTCTAATACATGCCCCCTATAAGAATTGCTTCAAAATACTAGGAATTTAATAGCAAAAAGAAGCAAAATCATTCAATTCATTCAGTTTCTTGCTTGATTATCCTGAGGGTTTGTGTATTTCATCTTGTTCATGAATGTTAAGTTCAAAGTAAGGACAGACTAATGATGGCAGCACAATAACCTAGGGTGAGAATTCTGACCTCGAGATTGGGATTTGAAAGAGCGACATGGATCTCTAGATGGCCTAGACGTATCAATTAAAGGAGTGGATATTCTGCTATTTCTAAACTCTCTCAATTTCTTTGCTGAAAGCATATTAGTTTTGTTGAGCTTGTTACAGTACTGTTATAAGAATAAATGCCTCTCTCTTTTTTTGTAATGCCTCATATCTATCAAACACTCTGCTTGGACCCCTAAAATTAAATTATTATAGAAGCCCTGGGTATTTATAGGCCATTTATGGTACAGATCAGATTTGAAGAAACTATGTCATATAAAGGAGAGTCAGCAAGAGATTACCTTTTCGAAGAGTGTGTTACACTGGGAAAAGTGCTCTTGGTGTTTATTAAATTCCACAGCTCCAATGCCGCTAACAAGGACAATAACAACTTTCTGTATGCTTCTTACATTGATGATATCACACCAATCAGGGACAACTGCATCATCGGGTGTTAATGCAAATAAAATAAGCTCTGGTATGCTTGAGATTTTTACTGGTGAACGGGCATGATGGACATTTCCTGCTTGGAAAAGATGTTCTGTATAAGGGTTGACTGTTGGCTGGAGCTGGCTATTTTCAGCTGTGAAAAGATCCTCTTGCCCATGATTGACCTTTTGCTGAAAGAAAGTTTAAGACAAAATCCATTACTCTTTAAGTAATTTCAACTTTCAGTGGACTAAAACCAAGCAGATTGCATTCTTTTTTACTCTTTTCGAGGGCTATAAATGTGATAAGTTTTATGAAATAACTCCAAAGAAAAGGTTCTTATGGGAGGCCAAGAAAACAAACTTCAAATGCTTCAAATTTCACAAAATCAAATCTTACCCATGACGATTTTACCTGAGTGTGTTTTCTCAATTCCTGTGAAATTTGAAATTTATTTTCTTGCGCTCCCATTTAGCATCAATGGACCAGGAGAAATTAAATTGGAAAAATTTAAAATAACTGGAAAACATTGATTAACATCATCAGTATGGAATTTCTCTTGTTGAGTTGAAGATTTTTTTCCTTGCAAGATGTTCTAGTGGCAAGGAGCCAGGAGAGACCACTCAGTGACCACTGTATTCACAGACTACAAACCTTAAAACCTACAATCGGCGACAAAATGAGTTGAGACACTTCACCCTAAACTGGGCTTTTTGTATGTTATACTGACTTCAAAAGGAGGAAATACAGCTTTTCCTCCCCCATCCTCTCCACGCAATGTTGTGCCAATGTTTGAGCTACCTACAGAAAACAACAAACACCCCAACTTTGAATGGAGGGGCAGGGGAGGGGTGTGGATTTTTTTGTTCTCTGAAGTTACCCAATTTGAGTACAATGTCTCAACAATAATATTTTGTTGCCGATTGTAGGTTGAATATTACACTGGTTAAACATGAGAACAGACTTGACCTACAACAATAATTTAATATTACCCTTACGTCTGCAATTTTCTTCAGTAAATCTTGTAAAAATAACAGATGTATGATTATATAAAATACCAATAACTGTTTGCAAACCTTTCTTGCCTCTGCTAACCTCCTTCTTTTTTCTTTTCTCTTTGCACTCTTCCCTTTCTTTTTTCTTTTCTTTCCTATGTTAATATCACAGGAAAAAATAAACAGACTCTCATTTTTGGATATTTTAGGGTATTTAAAGAATACCCACAAAAATCCCAAACTTGGAAGAGTGAGACAAGTCCCAATCGGGGAACCTGGATAGGAATTTCCTAGTTGGGACTTGTCTCACCAGAAAGTCATAGGTTCAACTCCTGTAGGAAGTCAGACTCGGATTTTATTTTTTTGGGCTGCTTGTGTCGCTGACTAAAAAATACATGTTTCTCATTATTTTAATCACCAGGCTGAAGATTCACTATCACATTTCCACCATTGTGCATGAGCACATGTGTTGACATTGAGTCCTAGCAGTAAGCAGGATGTTTGTCAAATGAAGCTAAAATCCTAGACAAAAGTCCTTGGGACAGTGATGCAGCAGTCATAAAGTTTCTGTAGCTCCTGGTTGCCCTAACAAAACAGTGCAACCTTTTTGAAAATATCTTGCAGTTCCCCCTCCCCCACCCTATACAAAGTTGAAACTAGGGAATAATTCTGGATAAATGAGTCTTATGTTGTTTGTGGGATGGGGAGGGGTTGGGAAAAAAACACATCACCTCAATGAGTTGTACACTAGAGCCTGTGATATGGTCATGTGACACTGGTCGGTGGATAACCTTTTCGCTTTTTGGCCAAACGCATCCTAATCTGGTGTTCCTGTGGCACTAAGGCAGAAATTTTCAAGCTATCACGGATGACTGCAAATTAACTGCACCTATTAATTTTATCAGGGGCATCTCGGCCGGGAAACTGGACTTCAATTTCATTTCCGTAAGGTAGTGATGAATATGGACCCATCATCATTGATTACCTCTAGTATAAGAGCTCTCAACTGACCATAAAATTGATGTTCACTATCAAGTTAAACACAAATTATGTATGCCTTGGGTACCTGGCTACTAACAAAAACTTGCCCAATTAGCAGCCAATCAGAGTGAGCATACTACTGTAGCGATATAAAAAGTATTGGTGTTTGAGCGAAGCTATTCTAAAATTCTTTTTTCTACTCTTTGCATTACAAATCATGCACATGCAAAAAAAAAAAACCTTAAGATTTCCCACAGCCACATACATTTATTATGCATACTCATTTTGACTCTCTTCATATTAACTCATTGCGAGAAACAGCATGAAATATTTGCTGCATGCATAATAAATGTATGGAGTTTTACAGAAGTTTTACCAAAGATAAAAACAACAACAACAAAAAAAGAATCTAGTTCCAAAAACCACAAGCTTATTTTTAACCAAAATTCACCCACTAGCAACTGAAAAAGTAGCCTGACATTTAAGTTATAGTTTTTTTTTATCTCGACATACCAGGAATATGCACATCGGAAGTTTCTTCTTTCGCCCTCTTCCGTTTTCTTGACGTCTTAATAGGGTGCAGAGAAAAAATTTTAAGCTTGGGCTTACCACATTGTTTAACAATAAAATATTTTATAAAATACGCTTATCATTAAGTCGTATGAATTACAGTATCTGCCATTTCACTACTTTACTGTTTACACACCTCTGATTTGTCCTCCATCTTTGAATTTTTGTTTAGAACTGTCATGTATGCTTCACGTATTGTGGTAAGGGCGTCATGTATGCCCCCATTAATTGGCAGTAGCCGTTTCATGTTTACACGACAAGGTTCAAGAAACGCGCGGCAACTTACCGCAGAGAAAAAAAAGGACAAACAAGTGCGACCAACTGAGCGCCTAAACAGGCTCCCAAGTGGACGAGCGGGCTGGAGCTTTCTAACAATAGTACTCACTCACGGGAAAAGAAGAACTTGGTACTGGTGTCAGTAAAAAGCGGGCCGAGGTCGAGTTCGGGGTCGAAGTCTCCCTTTTTTTTATTGTAATGCTGTTTTAAGGTTAGGGTTAGGGTCAGGGCTGACACTGGCCCTAACCCTAACCCTAAATAACCCTAACCTAATCCTAACCCTAACCCTAACCTTAAACCTAAAACAGCATTCTTTAAAAAAAGATAGACCACGACCCCGACCCCACGTTTTACGGGCACTCGCTTGGTACAGTCAACCGTCTCTTAACGGACACCTTTCTAAGGCGGACACCTGGTGTCGGTCCCTGCCGTTTTCAGTCATTTTACTGTGACTTTACACTCTTTAAAACGAACACCTCTCTACTCTAAGACGGACAACGGACGCTTTTGAAACCATCAACGGACAATTGGAAAGTGCTGTCTGTATACCTCCAAGCGGAAATGTAGGTGCTCTACATGACAGTAAATTGTAATTTTTGATATTTTGTTCCAGTTCGTAGAGTTTATACAGTTTATACGGTTACGCTTTTAGACCACGAAGCCGTGATTGTTTGCTCGTAATCATCACCGGTGTCCGGCCTTATTTCGACCTAGAATGCGTAGCACACGGCGCTTGGAAGTGGGCGCAAAAAAGAACGGGCGCGCGAGAGAGACACACGCGAGGGGAGAGGGAACCTCCCCCTCGCGTGTCTCTCTCTCGCCCGCCGGTTCTTTCTTGCGCCCACTACTTCCAAGCGCCTGCGTGCAGGCTAACCTCGACCCTCTATAGTATAAGCCGAACGCCTCTCTAAGACGAAAATTCAGGGCCGGTCGGGAAGGTGTCCGTCTTAGAGAGAGCTGACTGTATAGGTTAGGTGAACCTATGGCTGGGCTGAATCTGCCCAAGCAGGAGCTCCTGGCCCAAGTCGTCATCACGTCACGCGCCCGGCGAGAGCAGGGGGTGATAAAACTTGCCCCTTACCATACAAACGTCTGTAAATTTTCGCAACTTTGCGGATTCCAGTTATTTGCTCCCTAACTCGAACTTTTTTCGTTTTCTTTATAACTAGTTCGAGTTCTCCGGAGTAAGTGTGACTATACTTTCAATTTTGCGGAGTTTTACTGTTTTATACTTTGAATACTGAATAAACAGTATTCTTTTGTGTTCTTTGACCGCGTACTATGCCAAATGAATCATTCGTTAATCGTACTGTCACTGATTCAGGGCTTGCAGAATATCCCATGGGTCCACCAAAGTAGGATTGGTCAAGATTCACTGCAGTTCAAACTTACAAACCAAGAGCGCGTGTCAGAGCATGGTATACACTCTTTTTTTTTTATATATAAGAATGTTGTTTTTCCGGCCCAGGCTGAATATTCTTATTTTTCTGCCGATTTTAGGCTGAAAATATTCTTGTATTATTCTTAAATTATAGCTTATGACATTTCCGTTTTGTTATTTAAAAAGGAAAGAATTTGTCATAATACTTTTTTGCGGTTTAGTTTATGTCTTTTGTTCTGAATACTGTACATATGTATTACATGTACCATGGTTCATCGAACTGTCATTAGCGTTGAACATTTTGCTGTAGTTAGTGCAGGTTTTTTCGTTTTGTTTGCTAGTTTCGCCGTTCAGAGAAAGGAATAATTTTATACGGTTAAGTTAAAAACATAAAATTGTATTATACTTGCAGATGTTTCAACACACAAAATTATATCTATCCTTTTCAAAATCTCAGCCTCGGCTTTATTCTTAAAATATTCTTAAAATTTCGCAAATTTCAGCCTCATTCTTATAAAATATATTCTTACAAAAAAAAAGAGTGTACCTGGCTCATGCTCGGAATGCGGGGGTCTGGAACTGGGCAGGCCTGGGATGAGATTTTTTTCGTTCATATAAGCTACACGAATTTGTATCTTGTTCTTGGTAAGTTTACACGACCAGGAAAGAGGAAAAGAAGTCAACGAGATCCTGAGTGACGATGGCTGCAACAAAACTTAATTTCTGTGAGAAATGAACACATTTGAGCGGCGCGATTTTGATAGTATTCGACCTGTACTGGCTTCAGGAGCATTTTTTGTATTTATTTTCACATTTCAGTTTTACAGGTGAGTCTAACGGGCTGTAACTGGATTGATCTTTGATTCTACATTTTTTATCTGCGCAATCAAATAGCTTAATTAAATAAGTCTTAATGTATGGGATTATATGGAAATATTGCCAAGAAAATTCCTATATAGTAGCTCTTTATTCATCATGAACTGAAAATTGAAATTAATGAAATGTCCATATTTATACCGCGCGCACCGGTACATACGGTGCATAGAGCGGTTTTCACTTGACTGTCGTAAAACCAAAACCAAAGTAAATACACTAGCCAACCAAAGGGCGTAGTAAAACCAAAACCAAACCAATTCCTCAATTACTTTCGACAGTCAAGTGAAAACCGCTCTATAAGCTGAAAGGAAAATATAAATTGACGGTACAATCCACGAAGATATTTGTCTTTTAAACTTAAGTTGGACCAAGCATTTATTTCCAGTTTGAAGCTGACAGATTGACAAATGATGAGCACCATCGACTTATCGACTAGCTTTCTGATGATCAATTTCGATCGACACGTAAGGTCCTGTGTTAGTCTGCACCGAGCGCTGTGACTTTATGACTTCTTGCAGTCATACTTAGTTCAAGGCAGGATGGGAAGGTAGGACGGGGGGATATCATGCTCAATCCAAGTTTGGATGGGTTGAGAAAGTATGGGCTGTTAAGTCACAAACAAGCTTAAATGGAAGGAATGATCATTTCCTATAGTTATAGTCTGGGTTTGAATGGGAGAAGACTTTTGGAGTAATCACAATTTATCCAAGTTTGGATGCATGAAGGATTTCATTCAAGTTTTGATGGAAGGGGTGGGTTAGCAAATGTTTATGTGGTTTCTAATATACTGAATAAAATGTTGATAGTTTTTCTGTTAAAATTACTGAAATTTAGTTCATATTACAAAGATTTTCGTTTTACTTTATGTCAATAACTTTCTCAAATGTTTACAAGAGTGGAGGACAGCTGTCTTGTACAGCCCCAGCTTGAGTGGAGGGGTGGGAAGGAAGGGCATGGGGGAGGTAAGGGTCATCTTCTGAAGTTCAATCTGAGTGCAACTGAGTTCAGTTCAGCTGAGTTCAGTTCAATTCAGTTGTGATAGCAGAGACTAGTCTAGCTACTCTAGCTAAGTGTTCTTTTAATTTAGACGTATTTATTTAGATTGAAAGACATGGTCGATAGCTGAACTTATATTAAACTGATCCATATGTTAAACACTTGTTATTTTCTTTTCTCTTAGTTGTCCCACCTTACTCATTGGAATATGGGTTGTTGCCTTCGGTGTTGCAGTAGGATTTGTTGTATTTAGGTAAGTTACATGAAGAAGACTAAGTTTTATGTGGTCAACGGTCATGTCTATTTACCTTGATCCTCAGATTATCTTTATATTTAATGTACATATGTGTAACAATACTTTTAAGGATTAAAAGTTAGGTCGTTGTGAAAATGGAGTAGTTTTAGGTTAGCGAGTAATTATTAAATTTTTTGATTGAAAATTGTTTTTAGCAATGTATATAATTAAATTACTAAATGGAAGTTGGTTCTTACTTCTTTGCTTTGGTGTCTTTCTGGGTATTTTTTGTGCTACAGCGTGGGAATGTGCAAGACATGAAATTTATACGTACACATAGCAGGTATTATTAACCCAAAAAGAATTCTTTCATAATGGAGGACTATTAATATAAATTTCTTTTACATGAGACCAGAAAGGCTCATTTATATTCATATAAAGAAAAAATAAATGGGCTGCCACTATGAAAGAGGTCTATGATCTGGGCCAGCATTATTGTTATGACTGGGTTGTTTAGCCTAGCAAATTTGTTTTCTTTATTTAGCTGTTGTTCAGTTCTGCCATCTTTTTTATTACACTGGGGCCCTCGAAAAAGAGTAAGTAAACCAAACAAAACTTCAAAATTAATTTAAATTCTGCATGGTGTTTTTTTTCTTCTTCTTCTTCGTCTTCTGATGCTGCTGTTCCTCCTTCTCAAATGAGTTTCTCTGGTTCAGAAATGTATTTTGCAGAGAAGTTTTCTTGGTGGATCCAAGTCAAAGAAAAATAAAAGAATAAGCTGCTTTAAGCAAATTTCTTCAAACCAAGAAAATTTGAAAGGATACAACAAATATTCTAGATTTTATTCATTTCTTACTAGAATAATGAGGATCTTGATCAGCAACAAAGAGTTGTTTCAGGGACATGTACTATTTGTGGAAACCGTAAATGTCAACGTCATAGGTGAGAAATGTATTTCTTGATAATTTTGTTACATTATGTTTTGTATCTTTTTTCCATGTAAAACAATCCACAACAGGAACAACAGTGTGAAACAAATCCATATTATAAGAAGTGAATCAAACACAATTCCTCTGTATTACAAAAGTGACTTTTGTTTGTACACGTATTTAACCCTATCATGCAGTATATGCAATAACTTTTGATAATTCATTTGTGGTTAACAAAAAAAGCCTGGTACCTCATTATTGTAGAACAATGATAATAAAAAGTAAAACATGAAAACCATCTAAGAATGGAGTAAAGATGATGTATTGCATTTATTTGCACAAACATAATTTTTATTATAAATAATCACATGCCACTGACAGCATGACACAGTAGAAGGAGAATTAATTCAATTAAGTGCTATATGTTGTCCAATAGTTATTGTTATTTAAAATTGTACTCAATGTCTTTCTTTTTATGGGCAGTAAAGGCCCACCTATGGCTAATTTTAGAAAATTGTCAGCACAATCTACAGATTAGTTTGTTAATTAATAACTAATCTGTAGGTTGTGCATCAAGTTAAATGCATGATTTCCAAGAGAAATATCACAAAGAGACTGTGTTCAGTGCAACAGCTATAGATGTGTTTGTTGTTATTTTTTATATCAGTGTATTATGAATCAATCAGTAGATTTAGTTTTGTGAATTATCCAGAGTAAGGAAAGTGTTATCAGCTAGCGCCATTTCTGCTTGGCTGAAAACACTTGCCTCGGCCTTGATCATGTTCTTGGATCACAAAAACCTTATCCAATAATAATTATTGTAATAAACTGTTTATAAAAGGAAAAGAATAATTTTGAGCACTCAAGCAGAGTAAGATGAACTTTTTCTTTATTTTCCCCACAATAAGACCAGAAATTTCAAGGGCAAAGCTCAAGGTAAGTTTTGTAAACAGAAATTATTTCAGTTCCAGTATATTCCTTTAATATTAAGCAATCCTGTTACCATGGAGCTACATTAATAATTATTGTTGAATTGTTGTTCAGTCAATGCAGTGAAAACAGCCTTTTTATGTAAGAGAAAGGAAAGCAAGGACTAAATGAGCATCCTAAAAAATTAATGTAATAGGGATCGGCTTACTCTAACTATGGTCAATTCACTACCCAGGACCTACCTTATAAAGGATCAAAATTATTTTCCACCACACTTTAAGGAACACCCTACAGCTGTAGTTCATTGAGGGGTGCGATGTACATTGTAGCGTGACTCAAATAAATTGCAGATACCTAAAATCCTATAAGCCACCTACATAGAACTGTCTATATCAGTATGCCGATAATTATTCAAAAACTGATTTTTTTTTCAGAAATTTTTTTTTATTTTTAAGACAAGCATTTGAGTCAGCCTTTGAAAGTCAAACATCAAAGCGATTTTTACAAATTGCTTAATATACATGTATTTTGCCTATATTCCATTTGCACAAGCTTATTTCCAGCTACATTTTTAACATTCCTTTTCAACAATATTACCATACTCTACATTTCTTATCCTAGCCATGGGAGGATCTCCTCATCCCAGAATCAGTGGACAGTGCCTTGCAAGAGGTCTGATTTTACTCAATTTATATTATTTAAATTAAATGTTCAGTGATACTTTTAAAAGTATTTGTATAAGTAATTTTTAGACTTGAGAGTAAGTTGGCATTGACAGTGCTATCCATGAATGACATGACTATGGCCTTATGATTTTTCTTATTTTACTTTTTTCAGTTTCTTAGTCTTCTTCTTCAGAACTATATCTACAATTGGTACAGGTTAGTCAGTTATAAAAACAGGAAAAATACACACAATATAAAATTTGGGTGACATAACATAACTATAAACTAGTTATAGTGACAAAACTCTGGCTTTGGGAGACAAAACTTCACTTGATATGACTTTGTTACCTTTATTAATAATTGTCTTTTCTTTACTTACAAACACTGTCTACCACTCTTTAGGGAATTAAGCTGTAGTGAAACTTGTATTGATGAAATCCGCACAAGCATCAGATATATGGCAGCTGTGCTTATAAAAAGGATACGTAAGGTAAAGCAGCTTTTCATATTGAGATGAAATAATCAAATAGTGTACGTCAAGGTATCAAATGACTTCGAGATCAATTTGGAATTTTTCGTCTGCCCGAGATTTTTTTCAAAAAGTATCAAAATTGCAATTTGAGCTTTTTGAAAAAACACACGAGTAATGAATTCCAAATTGAAGGAGAAAAGTCACATGATTACCCCTTAAGAATATATACATGAAAACATTTACCAGTCAAAATTACAGGGTAGTGGAATCTGTTTATATTGGCTACTGTTGAGAACCCAGAAAATACTTGTTTTTGCACTGTTTGTACTAAAAACTGCATTGCTCTCAGCCAATCAGATTCAATTATTATTTTTTTTGTGGTATATTATTAGCATAGAAAAGCTGAATACCAACAGGACTTGTGTTTTGAATATATTATTAAACTATGACTTTGCATTTAACATAGGGCAATCAAACTTGATTTATTGTGACAAAATTGTAACAAAATTGGGAACGTCTTGTGCATTTTTTATAGAATGACTCATATCCAAAATTAGTCAGGTCATTAGTGCTTTCGAGTTAATTATGTACTATATATAAAAATGTACCAGAAATGATTCAGTCACTCTTGTAGCTGTACGACTGTGAGGTAGGTTATGGCTCCAGTTTAGTATGAATACATGAATGTAAATCCCTTTTATCAGATATTGAAATTGAACTGCGAAAGTAATGCATGTATGCTGATACAGGGGAAAATGTTCTTTATTTATGGTGTTGCTTTAATACTTTGCAGATCGACATTCCAACTCTAGTCACAGAAAACTTGGGGAAAGAAGGATTAAAGCATTTAGAGATGTACCTTAGAGCCAAGGAAAAAGGTTACTTAAAATACCATTATGAGTGTTGATTTAGTGATATTTAATATTTATACTCACTTTCTTTATTTTTTATTTTTATTTGCCTAACATCCCGGAAATCGATTTGATTGCATGTACAACTCATGTAATTTTAGGGAACTCATGTTACGTTAAGTAATGTTAACTTGATAGCAGTCAGTGAGAAGGCAAGACTTTTAGACCTCCCTAGTAACAGTTTCATCAGAGTGGAGGAAATAAATTCAAAGCAAATGGGCGGTAATAAGCTTCCTGAGAGGTGGCAAGAATGAAAAAAATAACGTATTGGAGTCTTTTTTTAGTGTCAATGTATCAGGCAAAAACGTACTATTATTATTGAGGACATTAGTGGTCTGATCGTGAATAATGTGACTCAAAAGATTGAAAATTTAGCATTCAAAATAAAAGTAATCTGTAGTGATCAACTTACCATCTTTTTTCCTTGTACAGTAACATTGTCACGTTCCACCAGTCTGCAGACAGCTATTCTGGAACAATTTAATCCCAGAATGCACTGTGCACTGCAAAGCCGTCCAATGGAACTTCAGTATCTGAGAAAACTGTCAGAGAGCATTCTCCCCTTTCTGTTACCTCCAAATGCCTTGCGATGCAGGTACGTTACAAGAAAGCAGTCTTGCTATGAGCCATCACTACTTCCATACGTGTCCATCTTAAGCGACGGTAAGACGGGCAACAAAACGTGCAACTTCAATTAAGGTTTCTAACCACCCATCCCTCTCCTAAGTCAGCATTAACACTTACTTCTCACTTAGGGCAAAAGTACGACCTAGGGAAGGGGCAGATGGTCAGTAACCCAAAAACTTCAATTGATCCTTTAGGGATATTCAACTTGTTTTGGAATATTGCTACAAAAGGAGTTGAATACTCATATTTTGCGCCCGGCGTTTTCTCGGCATCCACGAGTCAAGCCTGTCTTGCAACAGCTTGTTACAGGTTGTAAAACGCTTTTGCAAAAAGCAGAACTACTCTCTACTTTCTGAAACAACTTTTCACAGCCTCCAACAACCTAAGTTGTTGATTCGTAAGTGGTAATTGAACTAAGACGCGCAAAATCGCTTTTCATCTCGTTTCGCAGCAGTGTCACAAAACAATAACTGGAGCAAGTTTGGTTGATTTTTTTTGTTGGTTCTTATCCTTGTTCTGGGAGGTTTTTTCTATAAAAATCTCGTTCTTCTTTCCTCGAAATCGATCTTTCAGTTTTAATTTGAAAGGACAAGGGAAAACTCTTGTATTTTAGGTTTAAAGTTTCATTTTTGCGTCTTTAAATGTATGCTTCATGACCGATTATATTTGTTTTGAAAAACGGCGGGGTAAGAACGCGGTTTCAGTTTTCAAACACCAAAAACATTTTTTACTAAAATAACAACAAGGACATCAACAGCATAAGGTAAAGTTTCATGAACTT